GACTGCCGGTTTAGGCCCACAGGGATCGGGCCTAAACTGGCAGTCGGACATCCCTCGAGGGGTCCCAGATTGGAGAGGGTGCAGGCCGGGCTGAGGGGAACCCCCCCCCCCAGCATGAATTTTGTGCACCAGGCCACTAGTATTAAATATGATTTTAAAATAAAAACTAGAAAGTTTGCTGAAAAGAAGGACTTTACTGATTTTCCTTGTTAAATAAGTTGTAATGTTTATTAAGTTTTCAGTTTCAAAAAACAGGACAATTTTTTAATATCTTTAAACCTTTCATTCTTTGATTTTGTAGGCTCCTCAGGATTTTATACTATAGCTATTATCATAAAACAGTAAGAGCACAAAGATGAAAATATTACAAAAAATCTTCACTGATGTATATTCTTAATGCTAATCATCTTAGTTACCAATTCACTTGTTTTTCTCTTATAAGACAGCCCAATTATTTGAATCAAACTATTTGAATTCCCAGAATCTACACATTTATAAGTAAATCATATTTCCCATGATCATAGAATCTTTTCTCCAAAGGTTTCTTACCCAGTCCCCTGGCTGCAATATCAGTAGCAAACAGTACTGCAGCTCTCTTGCGAACAAATTCATTATAGACTTCCATTCTTCTCATCTGCTGCTGTCGACCATGCAGAGCAAGGATAGATATACCAGGACGTAGCCGGCAAAACACTCGAAACAGATACTGAACCTAGGCATTAACAGAAAAATGAGTTTAATACATCTGGATAGCAGCAGCAAAGTAAGCTTACAAAATGAACAGCAAAAATGTATTAAGGAAGACGATTAAATAAATATATAGAGCAGAGAAAGGGATATGCAATAGAGTTATGGTGTTAAAGCATTTTTGCTCACGTTATTCCCTAAAACAATTCTGGTGGGGTGGGGGGTGCTCCCCTTACCTTTTTAAGTTTATAGCTGATATTTTTGCAAATTTAATTGGTTGCAAAGAACGTAATTTCTGGTATATTGTAAATATTAATATTTTTAAATAAATACTTAAAACTTCTTATAAATGTACCCAAAAGATTCTAAATAGCAGAGCAATTTGATACCCACTATCAATTATTTTTAACATATGTCAAAATAATGAGGAGACGCCTGGCCGATGTGGCTCACTGGTTGAGCATCAACCTATGGACCAGGAGGTCACAGTTCAATGCCCAATCGGGGCATATGCCTGGGTTTCAGACTTGATCCCCAGTGGGGGGCATGCAGGAGGCAGCCAATCAATGATTCTCTCTCATCATTGATGTTTCTATCTCTCTCTCCCTCTCCCTTTATCTCTGAAATAAACAAAAAATATATTTTAAAACATAATACTGAGAGTATGCATTGTGAGAGAGAGCCTCTCAATTTTGCTGCAAACCAAAACAGCTCTAAAAAAATTAAGTCTTAAAAAAAAAAAAAGATTATGGGGTAGCAGGCGACTGGGAGAAGGGAGGGAATACCAGGCCACAGCCACTAGGGACCCTACCAGTGCTTGAATTTTGTGCACTGGGCCTCTAGTCTTATACAATAAAAGCCTGATATGCAAAAAATGATAATAATAATAATAAATAAATAAAAGATTAAAAACACAATGTGAAGAAACTTGTTTAACAAAAAGAAATTTTACATCATTTCTTTTCCTCCGTGAACTCTTATTTCCTGATTCCACAGAATTTTATCTTTACAGCTTTATGCTTGAAAGTCTTTTGAAGACTTTATCAAAATTTATTATTTTCTACAACCAATCTATGTATATCAGTTTTAACATTTAAAATTTCCTGTGGCCATAAAGCTGTATTAAAATTTTTCTTTCTGGATTAAATAAACTATTACTACAATCATTATTAGTACAGAAATGACCAAAACAAGAAATGCTAGAATTTGATTTTTAAAAACTGTTAGACATAAAAAATTTTATTGTTGTAAGATGTTGGGCATACAATAGTAGATGTTATTACATCTCTTAATTTATGGGACTAAATAAAGCTGATTGTTACAGTTTTACTACTTGTCTTTATCTTATGTATTCATAAGTGAATACTATTGATTGCTAGACCCAGGCAGAGTACAGCATCACTTAATTTCTATTTTCTCTTTATAATGTAGGTATTAAGAAAATCTTATCACAAAAATATAGGAAATGGACTGAAATGAACTTTAACTCTCTGAACTCTTATAAAAATCTGAAAGGAGACTTGACTTTGGATGGTGAATACAATAAATATGCAGATTATGTATGAAACAATTGTACTCCTGAAATCTATATGATTTTATTAACCAGCTAGTGGCCCAGTGCACGGATTCATGCACATTGAAAGGAAATTAATTAGAAGAAATATTTTAATATTGCTATTCGTCCTTTCTCTATAATAGAAGTGTCAACCAAATTCACAACTGACAATGACAGATCAAAACACATGCATGCGATTGGCGCAAGAGCTTTACATGCATCGCACATGCGCGAGTCAACTTAGCCTTTTGTATATATAGAATAAACTTGTTTAATTAGACCTGCTTTCTGATGTAGCTAAACTTTTTCCAGCCCAGTGAAGCACCCCAACTTCTCTTTCCGGTAATTGTCAGCAACACAGCAGTATATATCAACACAAAGCAGATTATTATTGTAGATCACACAGGGAGAACAAAGGGTAAAATATTTAACTGCAGCGGTGTTTGACTATATTCTGTGCAGTGAGAAAACCTGAAGTCATTTTCAAGTTCCACCATTTCTTACTTCTTTTCAGTTGGGCCAAGTTTCTAAGCTTTCTAAATGTCTGTTTTCCGGCTAATGAAAAGAAAATAGGATTCTACCGAGTCTCCTATCTACCTACTCCAGGACTTCTGTTAGGATCAAATGAGATGAGGCATGGGAAAACGCTTCACAGACATTTGGTTAAAGTGTAAAATGTTTCCACCTGGCTATAAAGCAAGTCATGTTCCTGGGCTGAAGAAACTGCAAGGAGGCTAGTCGTTGCTAGGGAGAGGAAGTCAGGCATTGCTACGTGACATCATTACCCGGCGCCCACAGTGACTGTTTCCAGGCTGGGCTGTGGGCCGCATTTAGTGCCATAGGGTCTTGGCAGTGTTGGCTGCAATTTGGTGGCTGTCGCTCCGGAGTGATGGCGGGGCCTATGTCCCACTTGGGGGAAGCCGAGTGTTGCTTTGTCTGCACCAGGTTTGTGCTGCCGTTTCTTTGTAAATGGTCAGTGTGTGTCACGGCAGCTCCTGCGTTGAGCATCTGCCCCCTGGTGGTCAGTGCACATCATAGTGACCGGTCAGACAGTTGGAGGGACACTTAGCATATAAGCCTTTTATACATGTAGATATCACTCTAATAAATTCAATAAAAAGGTAAAAAATTTGCAAAATCATGACAGATAAAATTTATAGTAATCTAGCACCTAATAACTCCATTTAAGTCTCCCTTCTAATTTTGTTCAAAGTAAAGAATGGGAAACCACCTGAATTTTGAAATGACCTGTTACCTTATTAGAGTCATTCACTTTCTGAGTAGCTACCCTGGTGCCAGAAAGGTTCTCTGACCATGAGACAATGAATCAATAAGATTAAGGATAGAAGGACATAAGCCTTTCTTTTGTAAAGTTTTTGAAAGAACTACCATGGCCCTATCGGGTTTGTGGATAGAGCATCGGTCAGTGGACTTAAAGGTCCTGGATTTGATTCCGGTCAAGGGCACATGCCTGGGTTGCGGGCTTGATCCCCAGTAGGGGGGTGTGCAGGAGGCAGCCGATCAATGATTCTCTCTCATCATTGATGTTTCTCTCTCTCACCCTCTCCCTTCCTCTCTGAAATCAATAAAAAATGTATACAGTAAAAAATAAGTAAAAAAAAAGAACAACCATGAAAAGGAAATGGGAAATGAGAACCTGCAGACCACAGAGGCCCCCTCAGGCAAGTCAATCTCAGAGAAGTACATATGGAAATTGAGGTATAAATTGAGATCATGAAAACTTTCTGCAATCTGTCTCTCTCAAATCAAGACTGACCTTGAATTCCCACTATTGAAAAAACTGGCTGAGGTGGAAGACATATCCTATATAATAAAGAGGTAATATGCAAATTGACCATCACTCCATTACACCATCAGAAGATGGCTGCGCCCATAGCTGAGGCAGGGTTCCCGTAACGAGCGATCAGCAGGGACCTGAGGCTGTGCCCCCCACCGGGTGGGGCTTGACGGGGGACTTCAGGCTGCACCCCCCCCTCCCAGCAGGGCTTGACAGGGGACCTGAAGCCACGCCCCCAGCCCCAGGCTCGGGGACCTGAGGCCACACCCACTGCCCTGGGGGACCTGAGGCCACGCCCCCTTCCCTGGGCTGGGAAACCTCAGGCTGCACCCCTGCCCTGGCGACAGGCCGGTGGACCTCAGGCTGCGCCCCCCGACCCAGTGGGGCTTGACGGGAGACCTGAGGCTGTGCCCCCCACCCAGCAGGGCTTGACGGGGGTGGGGCCAGCCGGGTCTGGGT